CGAGGAGGGGCCCTCTGGAGGCGCAGGGGTTGGGGTTCTCGCCCCTTGAAACAGGGGAAAGAGATAAGAAAACCTGATGACCAGGCCCTCCCCCACGAGCTGGAGTGGTGGGAAGGCAGCAGCAGCTGTGCCAGGATCCCAGGGTTCCAGGGGCACTTCCTCCACCCTGCGATCTGTCTCCCAATTCACCTCTTTCTTCTCCCTTGCTCCCCTACCAGCCCCCCAGTACCATCTTGGTTCCTAGATCCCCTCTACCTCTTATCCTTTCCCCTCAGGTCCCGTCTTTGCTTTGCTCCAACTGCAGCTTGTGAAGCTAAGCAGAGACAAACCGTGCTGTCTTTAAAATTTGTTTGTGAAAAGAGAAAGAAAAGCAGTCAACTAAAACTTCCTGTTAAACCATCCCACCTGCTGAGTTCAGCAGTGCCTACCCCGACCCCCCCACCAAAAAAGATAAGTTGAAGTCCTAACCACCCCCCACCCCCACCCCCGTGAATGACCTTATACAGAAAGTGTCTTTACAGATGCAATCAAGTGAAGAGGTCAGACCGGATTCGCCTGTGCCCCAAACCAAATAACTAGTGTCCTTACAAGGAGAGGGAGATTTGGAGACACAAACACAGAGGGCAGAATACATTTCCATTGTTTTCAGCCTATGGGTTTGTTGTAATGCTTTTGTTACATTGACTCTAGGAAACTCACATATCACCCAGAATAAAAGACTGACTGAACAGCAGCTAAAACTATTTGTTTCAGCAAATCTGACAACTTCCTGAGGCTGGCAAAACAATTCTAAATACTAACATGTGGCCCAAAAAAGGTGTTCTGGAAAATTCTATAAACTGGAAAAAAATGCAATATGAAATGCTGAAATTCTGCTTATGTTCGTAAGAATATATGCACTGGTATTTTTAAAAAACAGGCATACAAAGATTAAAAAGCCCTATTTCCACAAATTGACACAAGTCCTACAATGATGCTAAAGAACATATTCCAAAAGAATGTTTTCATAGATAAAATATATTAATATTCATCGACAATATTCAAGAATATTAGTTTTTAAAGTTTCTGCTGAATAAACTTGGTAAAAATCAGCAAATTAGTAGTTCAGCAAAGTGACCTTTTGGATGACTGGCTTTCAGCAAGTTAGCTGTTCAAATGACGGGTGATGGTGTTAGCAAATCTGAAAATACCGGCTGAACCTGCTATTATAGTTACGAAATTTAGTGAAATATGGCTGCTGACTTGTGCATGGGGAAGAAGAGGGGCATTTCTACTAAAATTCAGTTGAAGGCTTTGAAAAGTCAACAAAAGTCACTTAAAAATTGCAATCAGGGCTTCTCCGGTGGCGCAGTGGTTGGGAGTCCGCCTGCCGATGCAGGGGACACGGGTTCGTGCCCTGGTCCGGGAGGATCCCACATGCCGC